AAGCCTCTTCACTTCTTCCTCGGTTGTGTGTACGGTGTTCAGCACTTGGTGGTGTGCCCCACCTCTCCGTCTTTTGGAGACCCCTTCTGTCTCCTCTGTGAACACTTCTTTGAAACTTTTAGTTGAGTTCCTCACATACCCCCCGGGTCATTTTTATTGTCTCTCCTCCTTCCTTCCTTAGCCTGATTACCTGGTCCTTGACTGTTGTTTTCCTCCTGATGTTGCTGTATAACAGTTTTGGGTAAATTTTGGTTTTCGCTGCTATGTCATTTTCAAATTGTCGTTGGGCCTCCCTTCTTATCTGTGCACATTCGTTTCTGTATCTAGGACTGCTCTCCTTATTCTCCTGGGTCCTTTGCCTTCTATATTTCTTCCATTCCCTAGCGCACTTGGTTTTTGCCTCCCTGCACCTTTGGGTGAACCAGGGCTCATCCTGACTATTTTATTATTCCTGTTACCCTTGGTACAAACCTCTCCTCAGCCTCCTTGCACATTGTTGCTAAAATACCATCATCTCATTAACTGGCTTCCCTGCCAGTTCTCTGTCCCCATGAACTCCGTTCAGGAAGTTCCTTATTCCTGTGTATTTCCCCTTTCTTGTAGTTTGGCTTCATTCGTCCTGGCCTTCCTGCTTCCCTCTCCACTTGTAGCTCTACTGTGTATTCGAAGCTTAAAACCACATGATCGCTGGCCCCAAAGGGTTCTTTCATATGTGATATCCTCAATTCTGCACATCTGAATACTAAATCATGTCTTGCTGGTTCATCCTCTCCTCTCTCTCTCTTGTAGTGTCCCTTATGTTTTGGACATAAGTTTTCCAGAAACCACCTCCATCATCTTTAGCCCTCCATGTATTTTGGCCCCCATGTTGCTCCAAGTTCTCCCAATCTATCTCCTTGTGGTTAAGTCACCCATGATCAGGAGTTTGCCCTGCATGCATGGCTCTTCTGGCCACTGCAGCCAGTATGTCAACCATCGCTCTATTGCTCTCGTCATACTCATGCCCTGGTCTCCTGCTGTTCTGTGGTGGGTTATACATCACTGCAATTACCACCTTGGGACTTCCAGATGAAGCGTTCCCACTATGGGAATCACTTGCTTCTCCGCTGTCCCTCTCTCCAGCTCATCAAAATTCCATCGATTTTTTGATCAGCAAATGCCACTCCTCCACCCCACCCCCCCAGTTCCCTCTGTCTTTCCTCAGGATCTGGTATCCCGTTGGAAAGATGGCATCTGTTATCATACCTGTAAGCTTGGTTTCTGTGAGAGCTATGATGTCCGGTGATGCCTCTTTTACTCTTTTGTGCCACTCCTCCCACTTATTTTTTATTCCAAACACGTTTGTGTACCTACCTTCAGTTTCCTTTCCAACACTGGGGGTTTGGGGGGCCTGTGAGGGTGGGAAAACCTGTAGCATACTGTGGGATTCTATAGCTGGGTGTTGGGTGGAAGCTGTGGGTATGGACTGTGTTTGTGTTGGGATGGGTGAAAGGTTTGGGGTCTGAGGATAGTTTGTGTGTGTGCTGCCCTTGCTGCTCTGTTCAGCTCTGACTGACCTCTGCTGGTTTTCCCTCCTTGTCTCCCTTCCTAGCTTCTTTCGCTTTTTTTGTCCTCTCCCTCAGCTGCTTGTCATTCTGTTTGTGTTCTCTCTCTGTCTAGGAACCCCCCTCTTGTACTCTTCCGAGTATTTCAACCGTGGTTTCTCTTGGGGGATCCTGTTCTGCACTGTTTCTGTCCTGAGAATCAGCTTGATCGGTCGTTTTCTCCCCTTCAAGTACCCCCCCCCCTATTCTCTGAAAATTTACAATCTCGTCCATGTCTTCTTCACCTATTTCCGTGATGATTTTCTCAATCTCCTTCTTTCTTCCTCCTGTCTTTCAGTGGGTGCCCTTTCCCTCTCTCTCCTGAACCCCATGGATAAACACGGGATTTTGCCCTTTCCTCCTCCTTTGCCTCTCCCTCTGTGACTCTGGATCCTGTCTGTATGTGGTCATTTTCTCCCTTGTTTTTTCCAGTGGCTCCTGGTAGCATGGTTGTGTTTTCCCCATTCGACCTATCACCCTCTCTATCTGCACCCATCTGCTCTTCCCATTCACTCCTGACTCTTCTTGGCAGGCTGATATGACCTTAGCATAATTCATATCTCTTCTTTCTTCGGTTCGGCCTCTCAGCTTAAATTGCGTGTCTTCCTCTGGTCACTGCCCCCTGTAACTCGCTTCAGGCCTGTTTACCTCAACTTCTAGGACCCTTATCCGGGCCCTTACTCCAGTTTCAACTTGTCCTCCCAATTTTAGTCTCCTCCAACCTCTTTCCAAATTTTCAGAGAGCTTTTTCTCCATTTTTCAGAAAGCTCTCCTAATTTTCTCTCCCACTCTTGTTCCATTCTTTTCCACTGCTCCTCCATCCACTCCTCCCTACAGAGCCATTCTCATCTGATTCCTGGCTCCTGTAGTCCCCACCATTTTTTTTTTTTTGAGTGTGTGTGTGAGAGAGAGAGAGAGAGAGATAAAGGTAGAAGAAGAGAGAGAGAGAGAGGGAGAGTGAGAAGGGAAAAGGAGAGGGGAGTGTGAGAGAGAGGGGAAAGAGAGAGAAGGGAAAGGTAGAAGGAGAGAGGGGAGTTTGAGAAGGAAAAGGGGAAGAGAAAGAGAAAAGAGACAAGAGAGAGAGTGTGTGTTCATGTGTTGTGTGTGTGGTGTGTGTGTGTGTGTGTGTGTTGTGGTTGTGTGTGTGTGTGTGTGTGGTGTGGTGTGTGTGGTGTGTGTCTTTAAGACATAAGAATGGAGGAACACTGCAGCAGGCATAATGGCCCTCACAATGCAAAATCTTTATCAAAACCACCGATGTATTTGTCCACTTTTTCCCAAAGCTAGCCAAGTACGTCAGGTACTAATCAAACCCAGCCTGTGCCCTGGTGGGCAAAACTTCGCTTCACACACTGAGGGTCCATGGTTCGATTTCCGGCAAGTTTTGGAAATATCTTTACAACTGTTGTCCTTGTTCACCCATCAGTAAAATTGGTACCTTTGGGTGTTAGTCGATTGGTGTGGGTCGCATCCTGGGACAAAACTGACCTAATTTGGTCGAAATGCTCTGCATAACAAGGGGCTTTCTATATAGGTCACTGATCTCAGCTAGGCCCGTATACTTTGTAACTGTAGAAATAAAATTATTATTATTATTATCATTATTATTATTATTATTATTATTATTATTATTATTATTATTATTATTATTATTATTATTATATTTTAAAGTTGAGCACACTCTGCAGCATGTGGCACCATATTCAGTGTGCATTATGTTGTGGGAACAAAAGTCAACTATGCTTCCCCTGGCCTATTTCATCGCTACACAAATGACCAACAATTCCGAACTGAAACCTTTGACGACATTCAGACCATTCCAGCTCCTCTCTGTGTCTTGTTAATGGTCCGAGTCATAAGTTTTAGTCTCTTAATTGCAGGTTATTTATATATTATTCCAGCCACTGTATTGTGACTTTTTATTCATCATGTCCCATTATTCAACGGTGAGATATTCCAACACAAGAATGGGCTATCACTGCAGGAGGCCTACTGGTCACTAGTATAAACTTTAGTAAGTGATGCCGACAAATGGTTTAAAAAAAAGTTACGTGATCAAACGCTAGTATATATTTATTACAAAATGTTTCGATCCTGGAACATATCAAGGTCCCAGACCGAAACGTTTTCTTATAAATCTGTCCTGGTGTTTGCTTACGTGTCATTTTGCGCTGTATGACCCTTGTAGGTTTAGCGCTTTTTTATAATAATAATAACAATAATAATAATAATAATAATAATAACGTGTCTTGTTAAACTGGCCCTTAGATGTCACGACTTGACGACAGTGATGGTACAAAAATACACAATGTACAGAGACAGTTTTTATTTACAAACTACGTTTCACTCCCTTTAGAGAGAAACGCCGCCTGTAAATAAAAGTCTGCTCGGCACATTGTTTTTTTGCCACCTGCTTCTTTAAGGGGGGACAGAAATGTTGTCACATAAGTCATGTAAAAAGAGACTTCGACTGGGGCAACAAGCCCACGAGTTGAGGTATAAAAACACGAAATACTGGGCGAACATTTACTTTAAAACTTGATAAATGAGACACTTGTGCAACGTCTGGGAAAAATCTTTTATTCTGGAAACGTTTCGCAAGCAGTGGTTTCTTCAGTCCAATCAAAATTCTTCGTCAGATTGATTGATGAAGCACATGGACTCCAGGTTGAGGGACTGATTACCTCAAAGTCCTCCTCGTCTTCCGCCTTTCTCTACATTGGATTGAAGAAGCCACTTTTTGGCGAAGAGTTTCTTGAATGTTGCGCAAGTGTCTCTTTCTCAACTTGTCGGTTTTCTAAACCGACACTTTAAACAGATGCTTCCAACATGATTGTTTTATAGTCTTGATAAAGCTCTTTCTTTTTTACCCACATGCGAGGTGTTAGCACTTGCATAGTGTTTACTTGTGGCCTCACTGCCTCAACAGCTGTGTATCACTGACTACTTTTGGTAATATATCTGACCGCAGAGACAAATGGTCTATTGGCCATGTGATTCATATTCCCGACGCCATGCGAAGCGACGTATTAAAATAAACATTATGTTATTACGTTGTTATATTTTCCTTGAAACTCACTGCATCTGCAAATATTTGCCAAAATAATAGGTGAAGGTTATAATATCCCGTTCGCGCTTAAATCACGAAAAAAGACGTGGGCTACAGTGTGTGATGTCACCTTACATTTTCAAAGAAAGATTGAGAGGAGACAGGCAGATTAAATATACAATTATATATATATATATATATATTTATATATATATATATATATATATATATATATATAATATATATTATATAATATATATATATATATATATATACTATATATATATATATATATATATATTATATATATATATTTTATATATATATATATATTATATATATATATATATATATATATATTTTTATGCATAGTCACCTTACTGAGGGCACCAGAGAAGATACAAGCGACAAAGAGTCCAGGTAAGCCGGGGACGGAGCTAAGACTGTCCATGACGTAGAAGGGAAGGATCTGATCCTTACTGGTGATGAGACCGGCCGCAAGGGGATCACATCCTCGTAGGTCGCAAACATCAAAGACCTGAGGATTCAGGAACACAACTTCAGGAATCCTATAACAATCTGAGAAACATGTCTCGGCGTGTCCTTCGTAGGATTTTCTATCGTTATTGATAATGTTGAATCTAAATGGAAACACATGAAGTCTGTGTTGTCTTTGCGTTCTGAGAGTTTCCTCTGGTGCGTTGTTGAACATTGGCTGTGCTGGGGATTTTTAGTTAAGGACTGGAGGTCAGAGTGATTTATTAGTGATCTGGGCGTGGGGATATGTACTTATTTCTTTTTTTTTTTTTTTGTTTTTTTTTTAAGGGGTGGTTTGTTTTATAGTGGGGTATGGATGGCTTGGGTGGTGTGGTAACGGGAATAAGGTAGGACAAAAGGAAAGCGGGGCGTTAGGTGAGGGGCATTGGTAATGGTGGGGATGGAGATAGTGGGATGGGTATTTGATTTTAAATGGTGGGGAGGATGTGGGGATAATGGAGGATATATTGATGATGGAGGATATAGTGATGAGGGAATAAAATATAGTGATGGTGCAATTATTGAGGAAAAATGAAAGATATACGGGTAATGTAGTGAGGGTAATTATATAAGGATTATGTGATGTATAATGAGGTTGGAATGGGTATATATTTTAATGGAATCATAGACTAGGTAACAGTAATAATAATGATAGTATTATAATGATAGTAATATATATGATAGTAATATGAATGATAGTAATACTATACATGATAGTAATATATAACTGATAGTAACTATATAATGATAGTAATATAATGATAGTATATATGATAGAAATATTAATGATAGTAATATAATGAATTAGGTAATATAGAATGATATTAATCATAGATGATAGTACATATATAATTGATAGTAATATAATAGAATAGTAATATATAATCGATATGTTACATATAATGATAGATAAAATATAATAATGATATTAATATAATGATAGTAATATATACAGGATAGTAATATAATGATAGTAATATATAATGATCAAGTAATATATATTTAGATAGTAATATATAATGACTCAGTAATATAATGATGTAAATCATAATGATAGTAATATATAATGATATGTAATATAAATGATAGTAAATAATATAATGATAGTAATATAATGATAGTAATATTATAATGTAGTAATATAATGATGTAAATATAATGATAGTAATATAATGATGTAATATATAATGATTAGTAAATATAATGCATAGTATATATAATGATAGTAATAAATGATAGTAATATATTAATGATAGTAAATATATTGATAGTAATATATAATGATCGTAATATAATGAAAGCTATATATAACTGATAGTTAGATAATGTGTAATATAATGATAGTACTATATAATGAGTAGTAATTATAAATTGATAGTAATATAATAATGATAGTAATATACTAATGATCGTAATACTATAATGATAGTAATATAATGATAAGTAATATATAATGATAGTATTTATAATGATAGTAATATATAATGATAGTATAATAATGATAGTAATAGATATAATGATAAGTAATATATAATGATCGTAAGAAATGATAGTAATAATATAATGATTAGTAATATATGATGTAATTATATAATGATACAGTAATATAATGATAGTAATATAATGATAGTAATATATAATGATAGTATTATAATGATAGTAATATATAATGATAGTAATATAAATGATAGTAATATAAATGATAGTAATATAATGATAGTATATAATGATAGTAATATATATGATAGTAAATATAATGATAGTAAATATATAATGATAGTAATATAATAAGGATATGCTACATATATAATTGAATAGCTAATAATAACTGATAGTACTATATAACTGATAGTAATATAATGATAGGTAATAATATAAGCGATAGGTAATATAAATGATAGTAAGAATATAAATGATAGTAACTATAATGAATAGTATATATACAATGATAGTAATAATAATGCAAGTAATAAATAATGATTGTAAGATAATGAATAGTAATATATAATGATGATAATCTATACTGATAGTCAATATATAATGATAGTAATATAATGATAGTAATATATAATGATTGTATATAAATTAATAGTATAGATAATGATAGAATATATAATGATCTAGTAATATAATGATAGTAATATATAATGATAGTAATATTACTAATGATTAGTAATAGATAATGATAGTAAATACTATAATGATGGTAAGATATAATTGAAATAGTAATATAAATGATTAGTAATATATTACTGATAGTAATATCATAAGATAGTATATAATGATAGTAATCATATAAATGATGGTAATATATAATGATAGTAATAGGATATGATAGTAATATATAATGGATCTAGTAATATATAATGATAGTAAATATAATGATAGTAATATATAATGATAGTAATTTATAATGATTAAGTAATCTAATAAATGATAGTAATATATAATGATAGTAATATAATGATAGTAATATATATGATAGGTAATATATAATGATTGTAATATATAATGATAGTAATATATAATGATAGTAATAATATATCGATAGTAATATATAATGATAGTAAATATAATGATAGTAATATATAATGATAGAATAATAATGATAGTAATATATAATGATCGATCTATATGATAGTAATAGATAATGATAGAGTAATATAATAATGATAGTCAATAAATAATGATAGTAATATAATGATAGTAATTATTATGATAGTAATATATAATGATAGAATATATATGATAGTAATATATAATGATAGTAATATAATGATAGTAATATATAATTGATAGTAATATAATAATGATAGTAATATATAATGATAGTAAATATATGATTCAGTAATATATAATGATAGTTAATAAATAATGATAGTAAATATTAATGATAGTAATATAAATGATAGTAATCTATAAACTGATAGCTAATAGATAATGATAGTAATTTATAATGAATAGGTAATATATAATGATAGTTAAATATAAGATAGTAATATATAATGATAGTAATATAAATGATAGTAATATATATTGTAGGTAAATATGAAAAGTAGGTAATATATAATGATAGTAAAATATAATGATAGTAATATATAATTGTAGTAATATATAAAGATAGTAATATATATGATAGTAATATATATGATAGTAATACTATAATGATAGTAATATAATGATAGTAATATAATAATGATAGTAATATATAATGATTTCGTAATAGGATAATGATAGTAATCTATATGATAGGTAATATATAATGATAGTAATATAATAGTACATATAGAATGCATAGTAATATATAATGATAGTAATTATAATGATAGTAATATAATGATAGTAGAGAATATATAATGATAGTACTATATAATGATAGTAAAATATAATTGATTAGTAATATATAATGATAGTAATATATACAATGATAGTAATATATGATAGTATATATAAATGATAGGTAATAATTCTGATAGTAATCTCATGATAGTAATATTTAATGATAGTCATATATAATGATAGTAATAATAATGATTAGTAATATATCATGAATAGTAATATATAATGATAGTATACCTAATGGATAGTAATATATAATGATAGTAATATAGTAAGGATAGTAATATATAATGATAGTAATAGAATAATGGATAGTATATAGACTGATAGTAATTGATAATGAATACGTAATAAAATATATGATTAGTAATATATAAAGATAGTAATATACTAATGACTAGTATATATAATGATAGGTTAATATAATATGATAGTAATATAATGCATAAGTAAAATATATAATGGATGGGTACTAATAATAATGAAATAGTAATATAATGATCGTAATATATCAATGATAGCGTAATATATAAATGATCTAGTTAATATATAATGATAGTAATAGCATAAATGATAGTAATATATTAATGTATAGGGAATAGATAATGATAGTAAATATATAATGATAGTAATCATATACATGATCGTAATATATAATGATAGGTAATATCTAATGATAGTAATCTTATATGATAGTAATATATAAAGATAGTAATATATAATCCGATCAGTGAATATACTAATGATAGTTTAATATAATGATTGTAATATACATTATGATAGTAATATATAATGATAGTAATATATATAGATAGTAATATATAATGATAGCTAATATAATGGATAGTACTATATTAATGATAGTCAATATATAAATGATAGTAATATAATGATAGGTATATATAATGATCGTAATCATATAATGATAGGATAAAATATAATGATAGTAATAGATAAATGATAGTAATATATAATATAGTAATAGATATGATAGTAATAATCATAAGGAATAGTAATATATAAATGATAGTTAATATATAATGATAGTAATAAATAATGGATAGTAAATATATAATGAATAGATAATTAGAATGACTAGTCATATATAAATGATAGTAATATATAATGATAGTAATATATAATGATAGTAAAAGATAATGATAAGGTAATATATAATGATAGTGATAAGATAATGATAGTAATATATAATATAGTAATAATTCAATGGGAGTGAGTAATATAATCTATTAGTAATTTATAATGATAGTAAATATATAATGATGTAATATATATGATAGTAATATATAATGATAGTCATATAAAGATAGTAATATATAATGATAGTATATAATAATGATTAGTAATTTATAATGATAGTAATATATAATGATAGTAATAATATAATGATAGTAATATATAAGATAAGTAATAGATAATGATAGTAATATATAAATGATAGTAATATTATTGATAGTAATATATAATGATAGTAATATATAAGATAGTAATAGATAATGATTAATATATCAATGAATAGTAATATAAATGATAGTAAATATAATGACTTAGTTAATATATAATGATAGTAATATATAATGATAGTAATATATAATGATGTAATAATATAATGATAGTAATATAATGATAGTGATTATATAATGATGCTAATATATAATAATGATAAGTAATATATAATGATAGTAATATATAATGATAGTACTATATTAATGATAGTAATATAATGATAGTAATATATAATGATAGTAATATATAAATCGAATAGTAATAGATAATGATAGTAATAAAAAAAAATAATGATAGTAATAATACTAATGATAGTAATATAATGATAGTAATATATAAGGATGTAATTTATAATGATAGGTAATATATAATGGATAAGGTATATATATGATAGTAATATATAATGATAATATATAATGAAGAATATAGAATGATTAGTAATATATAATGATAGTAATCATATAATGATAGTAATATATAATGATAGTAATATATAATGATAGTAATAAATATAATGATAGGTAATCTATAAGTGATAGGTAATAGATAATCGAATAGTAATATATAAATGATAGTAATAGATAATGATAGTAATATAATGATTGTAATATTATAATGATGTAATCATATAATGATAAGTAATATAAAGATAGATAATATAATGATAGTAATATATAATGATAGTAATATATAATGATAGTAATATAAAATTTTTAATGATAGTAAGATATAATGATAGTAATAATATAAGTGATAGAAATATAATTGATAGGAATACTATAATGATAGTAATATATAATGATAGTAATATATTATGATAGTAATATATAATGGGATAGTACATATGATAGTAATATATAATGATAGTAATATATATCCGATAGTAATATAATGATAGTAATATATATGATAGTAATATATAATATAGAATATATAACTGATAGTAATAGATAATGATAGTAATATTATAATGACTAGTAATAGATAAATGATAGTAATATATAATGATAGTAATATATAATGATAGTCATATCATTAATGATAGTAATATATAATGATAGTAATAATATAATGATAGTTAATACTATAAGGATAGTAATATATAATGATAGTACATAGAGAACATGATAGTAATAATATAATGATAGTAATATAACTGATAGTAATATATAACTGATAGTCAATAATATAATGATAGTAATATAATGATAGCTAATCATATAATGATAGTCAATATATAATGATAGCTAATAATATAATGATAGTTATAGATATATGATTGTAATTATATAAATGAAAATAATAGATAATGATAGTAATATATAAATGATAGTAATATATAATGATAGTAATATACTAAATCGATAGTAATATATAAAATTGGATAGTAATATATAACTGATAGTAATATATAATGATATGTAATATTTAAATGCATAGTAATATATAAAGATAGTAATATATAATGATAGTAACTATAATGATTGTAGTAATATATATGATAGATATATATAATGATAGTAATATATAATGATAGTAACATAATGATAGTAATATATAATGATAGGTAATATATAATGATAGTAATAGAATGATAGAATATATACTGATAGGAATATATACATGATAGTAATATATCATGCATAGTAATAGATAAGTGATAGTAATATATAATGATTGTAATAGATAATGATAGTAATATATTAATGATAGTAATATATAATGAGAGTAATTATAATGATAGTATTAATATTAAATGATAGTAATATATAATGATAGTAAATATATAATGATAGGTAATATATAATGATAGTAATATATAATGATAGGATATATAATGGATAGTTAAATATATAATGATAGTAATATATAATGATAGTAATATAATGAGAGTAATATATAATATAGTACTATATAATGATAGTAATCTATAATGATAGTAATATATAATGATAGTAATATATAATGATAGTCAATATATATGATAGTAATATATAATGAATCGTAATATATAATGATAGTAATATATACTGATAGTATATATAGTCAAACTGATTAGTAATAATATAAAATGATCGTAATATATAATGATAGTAATATAACTGCTTAGTATCATATAATGATAGTAATATATAATGATAGTATATATAATGGAAGTAATATAAATAATGATAGTAATATAAGTTAGTAATTATAATGATAGTATATATAATGAGAGTAATATATAATGATAAGTAATATATAATGATAGTATTATAATAATGATAGAGAATATATAATGATAGTCATATATAATGAATAGTAAATATATAATTATGAAGTAATATAGAATGATAGTAAATAATGATAGTATATATAATGATAGTATAATAATGATAGTAATATTAATAATGACTTTAGTAATATATAATGTGTAATATAATGATAGTAATATATAATGATAGTAAATATATAATGATCGTAATATATAAGGATGATGTAATATATAATTATAGTAATATATGATAGTAATATTTAATGATGTAGAACTATATAATGATAGTAATTATAATCGCATAGCTAATATCTAATGATAGTAATATAAATGATACGTACTATATAACTGATAGTAATATATAATGATCGTAATAATATAATGATAGTAATATATAATGATAGTAATATATAATGATAGTAATATATAATGATAGTATATATAATGATAGTAATAATACAATGATAGTAATATATAAGATAGTAATACTTTAATGATAGTAATATATAATGGTAGTAATATATAATGATCGTAATATATAATGATAGTAATATAAAATCTGATAGTAATATAATGATAGTAATATATAATGAATAGAATATTATAATTATAGTAATATTAGAGTGATAGTATATATAATGGATAGTAAATAATAATCGATAGTAATATCTAATGATAGTAAATATACTAATGTTAGTAATATCTAATGATAGTAATATAATAATTATAGTAATATATTATGATAGTAAATCATAATGATAGTAATAATTAATAATGATAGGTCACATATAATGATAGTAATATAATGATAGTTAATATATACTGATAGTAAATATAATGATAGTACTATATCATGATAGTAATATATACTCGATAGTAATATATAATGATAGTACTATATAATGATAGAAATATATAATGATAGTAATAGATAATGATAGTAATATATAAATGATAGTAATATATAATGCTAGTTAATCGATAATGATAGTAAATATAAACTGATAGTAATATATAATGATAGGTAATATATCATGATATTAACTGATAATTCATAGTTATATATATGATAGTAATAGGTAAGGATAGTAATACTAGAATGATAGTAATCAGATAATGATAGTAATTTATATGATAGTATATCATAATGATGTAATATATAATGATAGTAATATTAATGATAGTAATATATAATGATAGTAATCTATAATGATAGTATATATAATGATAGTAATATATATGATAGTAATATATAATGAATAGTAATAGATAATTGATAGATAATATATAGTGATAGTAATAATATAATGATAGTAATAATATAATGATAGTAATATATAATGATAGTAATAGAATAATGATAGTAAGATATAATGATAGTAATATATAATCGATAGTAACTAATAATAAGAATAGTAATAATATAATGAGACGGAATAGATAATGAAGTAATATATAATGTAGTAATAGATAATGATAGTTCATATATAATGATAGTAATATATATGAAGTAAATATATAATTGGATAGAATAGATATGATCGTAATATATAATGATAGCTATATATAATGATCGTAATAATATAACTGATAGTAATAATATAATTGATAGTAATATATAATGATAGGTCATATATAATGATAGTAATAGATAATGATAGTAATATATAATGATGTAATAGATCATGAGAGTAATATATAATCGATAGTTATATATACTGATAGCTAACGTAGATAATGATAGTAATAATAAAGGATAGTAATAGATAATGATAGTAATATATAATGATAGTAATTATATAATGAATAGTATAGATAATGATAGTAATAGATAATGTTAGTAATATATAATGATAGTAATCTATAATGATAGCTAATAATATAATGATTGTAATATATAATGATAGTAATATAATGCATCTAGTACATATATAATGATAGTAATATATAATGATAGTAATATATAATGATAGTACTAGATAATTGATAGTAATATATATCGGATGTAATAGAAAATGATAGTAATATATAATGATACGTAATATATAATGATAGTAATATATAATGATAGTCATATATAATGATAGTTATATATAATGATAGTCAATATACTAATGATAGTAATATATAATGATAGTAATATATAAGTGATAGTACTATATAAATTGATAGTAATATATAATGCATAGTAATATTATAATGAAGTAATAGATAATGATAGTAATATATAATGATAGTAATATATTATAGTAATATTATAATGATGTAAATATAATGAAAGTAATATATAATTGATAGTAATATATAATGATAGTAATATATGATAGTATTTAATAATGATAGTAATATATAATGATAAGGTAATATATAAATGATAGTAATATAATAATGATATGTAATATATAAGTGATAGTAATATAATAATGATCGTATATATAATGATAGTAACTATATATATGATAGTAATATATAATGATAGTAATATAATGATAGTAATATATAATGATGTAATATATAACTGATAGTAATAGATAATGCTAGTAATATATAATGAATAGTAATATATAAAGATTAGTCAATAATGATAGTAATATAATAATGATGTAATATATAATGATAGTAATATATAATGATAGTTAATATATAGTGATAGTAATATAATGATAGTAATATATAATGATAAGTAATATATAATGATAGTAATATATAATGATAGTAAGATATAATGATAGTATATATAATAGATAGTTAATATATAATGACTAGTAATAATAATGATGTAATATAATAATGATAGTAATATATAAATGATAGTAATAGATCAATGAATAGTAATATATAACTGATAGTAATATATAATGATGTATATAAATGATGTAATATATAATTATAGTAATATATAATGATAGGTAATAAATAATGGTGATAGTAATATTATAATGATAGTAATATATAATGATAGTTAAATATAATGATAAGTAATATATACTGATCGTAATATTATAAATGATATGTTATATATAAGATAGTAATATTTGTAATGACTAGTAATATAATGATTGGAATATATAATGATAGTAATATATACATGATAGTGAATAGATAATGATCGGTAAATAATATAATGATAGTAATATATAATGATAGTAATATAATGATAGTAATTATCTCAATGATAGTAATATATAATGGATAGTAATATATAATGATAGTAATATAATGATAGTAATATATAATGATAGTAATATATAATGATAGTAAATATATAATGATAGTAATATATAATGATAGTAATCTAAATGTAGTATAAATCGATAGTAATAAATATAATTGATAGTAATATAATAATGATAGTAATATAATGATAGTATATATAATGATAGTCATATATAATGATAGTAAATAATGATAGTAATATATAAGATAGGTAATATATAGGCTAGTAATATAATGATAGTAATATATAATGATAAGGTAATATATAATGATAAGTAATATATAATGATAGTAATAGATAATGATAGTAATATACACATAATGATAGGAATAGATAATGATGCTAATATATAATGATGTAATAATATACTGATAGTTAATAATATAATGATACGTAATCTATAATGAATAGTAATATATAATGATAGTATATATAATGATAGTAATATATAATGATAGGTAAATATTATAATGATAGTAATAATATAATCGATAGCTAATATAATGAGAGTAATATAATAATGATGTAATATATAATGATCGTAATATTAATGATGTAATATATAGATGATAGTAAATATTAATGATAGTATATATAATGATCAGTAAATATGATAATGATAGTTATATATAATGATAGTAATAGATAATGATAGATAATATATACAATGATAGTAATATATAATGATAGTAATATATAATGATAGTAATAATACTAATTTGATAGTAATATATAATGATCGTAACTATATCAAATGATAGTAATATAATAATAAGGAATAGATAAGGATATGTAACTAAATAATGATAGTACTATATCATTGATAGTTTTATATAAAGATAGGAATATATAATGATAGTAAATATATACTGATAGTAATATAATGATAGTAATATATAATGGATAGTACTCATATAACTTATAGTAATCTAATGATAGGTAATATATAATGATAGTTAATATATAATGATAGTAATATATAATGATAGTAATAGAAAATGATAGTAATATATAATGAGCGTATAGGATAATGATCAGTAATATATAATGATAGTAATATATAATGATAGTAAATATATGATAGTAATATATAATGATACGTAATAATTAATAAAGATGTACATATATAATGATAGTAGATATATATGATAGTAATATATTAATGAGTAGAAATATATAATGATCGTACTATATCAATGATATTAATATATAATGACTCTAGTAATATATCAATGATAGTATTATAAGCGAGAGTAATATATAATGACTAGTAAATATATAATGATAGTAATATATAATTGATAGTTACTATTATAGATGATCGTAATAATATAATGATCGTCGAATATATACTGATAGTCATATATAATGATCGTAATTATACATGATAGTAATATAGATAATGATCGTCAATACAGCTTTTGAGAGTGAGCTATATAATCGATAGTAATCTGTCCTGGATAGCTACTAAATGATAGTAATATATAATCGATAGTAATTATATAATGATAGTAATATATAATGATGATAATATATAATGAATAGGTAATAAAATGATGATAATATATAAATGATAGTAAGATAATTATAATGATAGTAATATATACATGATACGTAAGTATATAATGGATCGTAATATATAATGATAGTAATATATAATGATAGTAATAATATAATGAATAGGTATATATAATATAGTAATATATAATGCTAGTTGAAAATATAATGATAGTAATATATGATAGTAATATATTAATGCTAGTAATATATAATGATAGTAATATATAATGAATAGTAATATATAATGATAGAATATAATTGATAGTAAATATTAATTGATAGTAATATATAATGATAGTAATATATAAAGATGTAATATAAAATGTTACGTAATAATAATGATAGTAATATATAATGATAGTAATATAAAATGATGTAAATATAAATGATAGTAATAAATAATGACTAGTAATATAATAGAATAGTATATATAACTGATAGTAATAATATAAGATAGTATCAATAATCATAGTATATATTAATGATAGATAATAGTATAATGATCGTAAACGACTATTAATTGATAAGTAATATCTAATGATAGTAATATAAAAAGATAGTAATATATAATGAATAGTAATATATAATGCTCGCACGCGTTCGCTCGTACTCTCATGATAGTAATATATAATCGATCGTAATATAAAATGATAGTAAATAAATGAATAGTAATATATAAATAATGAATAGTAATATATTAATGAATAGTAATATATAGTGATAGTAATATATAAGATTGATAGTCATATAATGACTAGAATATATAAATGATAGTACATATATAATTATAGTACATATATAATGATAGACAACTGATATAATGATAGTAATATAAATGATAGGTGAGTTCTATAATGGATAGTAATATATAATCTGATAGTCATATACTAATTATAGCTCAATATAATGACTAGTAATCATAACCCTAATGTTAGTATATATAAGATGTAATCATTACTTCAGACTAGTCATATAAATGATAGCTGATATTATAATGATAGTCAATATTATAAGTGGGCTTAGATAATATATAAAGATGAGTATATATAATGATCCGTCATAGCATCATGATAGTCATAATATAATGATAGGTAATCTATAATGAATAGTAATATCATCATGAATAGTAAATATAATGATAGTCATATATATATGATAGTAATATATAATGATAGTCTAGATAAATGATGTAATCATGCTAAATGACATAGTATAGTGTAATCATAGTACATATCGTAATCGATAGTACCTAGATAATGCATCGTAATCTCTCCTGCTCGTCACATATATAATGCTAGTACTATATACTCACTACCATCAAACCTTCAATACTCATCATCCTGATACCACACCCATCATCTACAACACACTTCACGACCACACTCCATCACTACCACACACCATCACTACCACCACCATCATACCACACACCATCAACTACCATCCCACCCCCATCACTACACACACCAAACACTACCACCCCATCACTACCACACCATCACTACCCACACCATCAACTCACCAAAACCACCATCACTACCACACACCATCACTTTCACACACCATCATACCCCACTCCATCACTACCCACACATCACTTCCAACACACCATCACTACCAACCCTCACTTCAAACCACCTCCACACCATTTACTACCACAACCATCACTCCCACACACCATCACTACCACACACCATCACTAAACCCCACACCATCACTCACACACCATCATACCACACACCTTTACTACCACACACCTTCACTACACACCATCACTACACACACATCACTACCACACACCCTCACACCACCACACCATCCACTACCTACACACCATCACTACCACACACCCTCACTACACACACCATCATACCACCACACATCACTACCACACAATCAATACCACTCACCCTCATACCCCACACCTCATCCACTACACTACCCACCATCACTACCCATCACTTCATACCACACCCCCATCACTACCACACACCATCACTACCAACACTCCACTACCAGCTTCCCCCCATCACTAACCACCTCCTACCATCACTATCCTCACACCTCATACCTCTCTCTGACCACGCCATCACTCCACCTCATCCACCCATCACTACCACACCATCACTACCCAACCATCACTACCCACTCATCACTACTCCCCACACCATCCAACATCACCCACCACCATCACTACCACACACCATCACTACCCCACCCTTCACTAAACCCACACATAAATACACTCACCATCAACCAACCCTTTTTCTACCCACCATCATCCCCAAAAATCATACCACACACCTATACCCAACATCACCAAAAACCCACACCCAAACCTTACCAACCATCACTCCATCCCACACTACCCCCACACCATCATACCAAACCAAACACTACCCCAAAACCTCACTCCACTCACCCTCATCCCCACCCATCATACCACCCCCAAAAACCCCACCACCCAACACTACCAACACCATACTACCACAACCATACTACCACCCTCCTACCACCACAAACATACAACACCATCCCCTACCACACCAATCCTCCACCCCAAAACCATCACCTCCACCCTCCTACCCCAACACCTCCTCCACCACCATCATCCCTTTCCCACCAACCCCATCCTACCCCACACCATCACTCCACCCCACCATCAAATACCACCAAAACCTTCACAAAACCAACTCCCCCATCACTACCACACACCTCACTACCAATCACCCTCCCCCACACACCAACACTAAAACACACCATCAATACCCACACCATCACTACCACACACCATCACTACCACACACCATCACTACCACACACCATCACTACCACACACCATCACTACCACACACCATCACTACCACACACCATCACTACCACACACCATCACCAAGCCTCACCTGTGATCATAGTGAGAGAGATGAGCAGAAAGGAGACAGGAATCACCATAAAAATTGACCTGAAAGCATCAGAAGGTCATAAAGTATAACTGTGGTACCGTCTACCAGGTATTTGTAAACACACTTGATTTTCTCAGCATAATTTTGACTAGCGGGCATTATTACCCCTTGTCCAGGGAACCTAATTAAAAGAAAAACCAATTGAAATTAAAAATATATAAAGTTTGAAAGCAAATAGCAAAGGTATTTTTTTGTTTTAAATTTTGATTTAGTGTCAGTCTTAAATTAAAATGGGCAGCAATATAACAGTTCCATACTCTAAACATATGACTGAAAATAGTTTCAGAAAATGATGTACCAGCAAAGAGCATCTATTTTGTTATGCCTTATTAGGCCATTTTGCCCGAGCATGTGCTGGACTTTCTTCAACAGTGATGGACTGAACTCATCGATTCCAAGCTGAGGGACTGATTACCTCAAACTCCTCCTCTATTTCCACCGTTCTTTTTTGTATTGGACTAATGAAGCCACTGTGTGGCAAAATGTTTCCTCAATAAAGATTCCAAAATGTTTCACAAGTGTCTCATTCTTCAGGTTTCAAGTTATTGGACGCTGTTGCTTCCTGAGTAATTTTCTCAATATTCTTTCTTTAGTATTACTCTGTTATAAATATTGATGTCTGTTTCACGTTTATTAGTTAAAATTACTAATGTTTTAAGTCAGAAAGTACTGTCTGTTGCTGAGTGTTGCTGCAACATTGTTCACTATTTTTGTACAATATGGAAATCACATTATACACTCTTCAAAGTGCAAGCATGGCCAGTCCCACCTCCAGGACTCAAGTCCAGCTGACCGGTTTCCTTTTAAATCCCTTTATTTATAAATTCAGTCCGGTATGAAATGTTATTAATATTTTATAGAAGCAGTATCGCTGTGTCACGTTACATGGCCTCTTGTAGACCACAAAAAATAGAACTAAGAGTAAGCTTGACACATGCACAGCAATATGTATAGGTATACAGTACTCACATATAAGCATGAGTGAGAGATTTCATGCTGACATAGCGTTGGATGGTGGTCTGACTGCACGAATACTGCGATATCGTACCCAATATGGCACTCATGACGATATTAACGACGGTATGACGCTCCATGGGGTCATACCCGTACCTGCAGGACAGCAGGAGGGAATGATGGGTAAGCAGTGTCCAAAAATGTATGTTAAACGAAGACACATGGATGAAGACTTTGAACAACATTACAACGATGAAGATTGAGTTATCTTTGAGCGAAATGCTGTAATTACGAACACTTAGTCTCCTCTAAGTGTCTTTACATTACCAATGATACATAATGGGAATATTTCCTGTGTATAAAATATATTTAATTTTGCCCTATTTAGGAATAGATCCATAAGCAGACTTCACTGTTTATGAAATAAATGAACATATTTGGCCCAAGTGATCCCAAATAGATATGAAAGAATAGGTGAGGATAAAGGTAATGCATATTTCAGCCTAACACTGCTGCACCTTTTCAGCAGGCTTTGATAAGTCTCAGGCTGACGGATATACAGTACTCATATTCTGTTGCATTATCTCCAAGGGAAATTATTTTGTTTTAGTGTATAGGATGATGAAGTGTAGGACACATGTGCAACACTTAGGTGTCTATTGATGATGGTGAGTATGTGGGTAGTATTTTTGGACAAATCTAGGCCATTGGTTATTTTATTGTTGTTATGCCCCCACGATTTTAATTTAAGGCCCTAGTGTGTGCGAGGGCCTGTGTTTTGGAGAGTACATATAACGTATTGACAGAAGGCCAAGTAGCCGGCAAGAAAGGGGAAGGGATGTTTTACTCACTAGTAGCAGTGTGCTAGTGAGCTTATGTGAGTAAAGGTGAACTTGAGTGTGGAGCCAGGACTTTTATTTACGTTACGCAGTAAAAAGCGTAACCGTGAGTAAGATATATGATCAACATTAAGATAGATTTATTGATAAAATATTTTGCCCGTACAATAGGTTTTTTGAAATACAGAGGTTATTACAAAACTGGATTACAATGCCACTGCCTATACAATTGTAATCACCTCTGTACTTAACGGATGAAGCCTAGTGAGAGGTCAAAACCTTCGTCAAAAAAGACAACAGTGTATTACACAAGTGTCTTACTCATCAATTTGTCGGTATTGTATACCATTTATAAGCACAATATATGCTCATCACATAATATGTTTGGTTGTATGTATGCGCAAAGCAATCCTTTGCAAAACCGCACTAATAAACTGAAATTAGGGTGGTAGAAGAGAATACTCATACTGCCACAAAGAGAAAAGTCAAGAATTTTCCATGAAAATCTTAGCTATTTTCCGAGACTATGGGTCTTCATAGAATTATTACACTGATCAACAAATGAAAATTTCGTTGCCAAAAATTTTTGTTAACACATATAGGGTATTTTGGGGTTGAGAATTTAAAAATGGCAGTAGAATTTTCAAATTGGCTCTAGTTTGTAAGATATTGCATACCTACCCTTAATTAGCAGGGAACCTAGCCATAACGTGTGTATATGTATATGTAGTGACATTTTGTATATACAGATAGTTTTAATAAAGATTAGAATGTTATTTTTAGATTATTTAATATTTAACGAAAGGAGTCGTATCAACAACGACCACGTGACAATATTGTAACCTTTATTTTGCTATATTTTCCAGATGAGCATGAGTTCTTCAAGAAGAGTCTGCCAAAACAATCCCAATGTATTTTGCTACATATGTGGCGAATGCTATTTGAAAAAAAAAAACAAAGGAAAAAACAGCAGATTTTGCAAAATAAGCTTATCTTTCTTATTTTGGAGTGGCGCTTGTAGAACAAGTCTTGGGCTTCCCATATGGTTTGCAAAAATCTGTGTAGAATGCTTACGACAGTGGAAAAATAGGCAAAGGAAAAGTTTGTTTAAACTTCCGTGTGCCTATGGTCTGAAGAAAGCCAAAAACCACCACAACGATTGTTATTTCTGTTTGGTGAATGTGAAAGGCTTCAATCGATGCAAGAAAGTCAAGTAGGAATATTCTGATTTGGAGTCAGCAAAAAGACCTGTACCACACAGTTAAGTCGTTCCCATACCAGTGTTTACAATACTGCCTGACCTTCCATTGCCAGATGTTGAAGAAACTCATGGTTTAGGATGTAACACAGGTGATAGAAGTGAATATGAAGTAAACATTTCATTACACCAGCAGTTCTCCCAAGAAGAATTCAATGATCTGATACGTGACTTCAGTCTGTCAAGGAAAGCATCTGAACTTTTAGCATCCAGACTAAAAGAAAAGAACTGTCTGCAACAAGAATTTTAAAATAGCAGCTTATCGGACAAAAGAGATTGAACTCCTTTCTTGTTTCAGCCAAGAAGAAGAACTTGTATACTGCAATAACATCCCAGTACTTCTTGGAATGTGACTTGAATATCGACCAGATTGGCGGTTGTTTATAGACAGCTCCACTAGAAGCCTGAAATGTGTCTTATTGCACAGTGGTAAACAATATGCATCTCTTCCAGTTGACTCACTCAATAAAACTTAAAGAAGAATACGAAAATATAAAAATGGTTTTCAGATACAGTAATTAGTGGTAACTGAATTATCTTACCATATTAGTCTGTTTTAATATAGAATCAAATGTTAATATGTATTAAATTATTTGACTTTTGCACGCTCTAAAAACTCATTTCAATGCGATTTGTAAGTTAGCCTTCCTGATCAATATATTTTTCATATCTTTTTTGTTTTTCGGTGGGATACAAAATTTATAAAAAACTAGAGCCAATCAAGCAAAACCGATGACATTCGGAATCAGCATCACAAACTTACCATAAAATCGGTGTAATATCATTGACCAGAAAATGAGTGTTGACCAGTGTTATTATATTCATGGGAAAGCGTTAAACACGTAGGAGGTCATATAGCTTCTTAGAAATGACAGACAATCCCCCCGAGAAAAAATAAATAGAAAGGTTCCCTGGAAAAATCTTGAGAATTCTTTTTGTTGGCGTTCGATTGTTATATTCTCCTACTCCCAATTATTTTTCTTTAAAGCTCTTGTATTCTCTTCCAACAGCGTAAGTGGCTAGAGATCTGTTAGCGCACGACAAATTGATCCTCCACTACCCCTTGCGATGAATAACCCACAAGAACTGAATGCAAAAAACAATGAATATGTCGAAGATGTGTAGGCACTCACAGAATTAAGTCTTAAGAGAACTGTTATTACTATTTTTCATGGGGTATCTGTAAACCTATAAGGAGGTAACCAAGTTTGGTCCCAGGAAGAGAAGGGTAGCTACATTTCTTTGGCTCAGAAGCCCTTCACCTGTATCAAAGCACCTTCCTTGAAGGGTCCCCATGAAAACACCTTCCTTAAAGTGTTCCTATGAAAGCAACTTCTTTAAAGTGTCCCCATGAAAGCACGTTTGAAGAGTTCCCATGAAAGTGGCTTCTTTGAAGGGTCCTTACGTAAAGATCTGAGGTCCAGCTCTGTCGTGTTGGACACTGATCTCCCACACCCGCTGGAAGCTGCCCATGTCGATGAGTCCCTTTATGATGACGGCGATGAGGCCCAGGATGAGGATGAAGAGTTGCAACACGTCAGTCCACACCACCGCTTTCATCCCTCCCTGTGACAAATTAAAGTTATGTTAATGGTACATAATACCGACAAATAGGCTATGGGACTGAACACCTTCCGTCAAGTCTAAGGGACTGAACACCTAATAATTACCTCTTTCCTTCTTTCATTGCCTCTAGCTTCATAACAGTAACTCCTGCATTCGACTGAAGAAACATGAGTCTTACCCACCAACAAACAACAACACGTTTCAATATCTGGCAGTCTTCCTTTCTTATATTTTTTAAAGTTATTTAAGTTATCAAAGTGAATATTTACTAGACATGAAGTAGTAAGTTGCAACGACCTTCCATAATAAAAAAAATATTTCATTACTGGAGTTACATGAAGTAGTAGTAGGTGGCGTTGTAGTGGTAGTAGCAGTAGTATTTTATTTATTAATTTATTATTATTATTATTATTATTATTATTATTATTATTATTATTAGAGTTACGGTAGTATTAGACTATTATTAGCACCTGAAGTTGTAGTAATAGTGACTGTAGCAAAAGATGACGTTGCAATACAGTAATAGAAGTAGTGGCTACTGTAATGTAAGTATTATCATCATTATAGTGACAAAAAGGACAAGTGGTGTTGCAGCAGCTGGTGAACCTCTGTTCTCCCTCATGTCTCACTGGTGACGCTGGTGATGGCCACAGGTGCACGCGTGTAAAGTTTGAAACTGTGAGTGTGCACCTTTGTACTTCTAGGTTTCAATCTAAGTTTCCTCGGGGATATTGCTGTAGTTAACTAGCGATCTGTATTGATCCCATACCCATCCAGTTGTTGTGATTTGATTGCCTAAAATGAAGCCAAAGAATATATGCTACCAATATCTTTGTATAATCGTGAATTTGTTTGTAAATTCTGTCGGTCATCTCCAAACTGCTGTACTAAGTAAAATTTCATATTTCATTTACGTCTTAAAGTCAGGCCTTAAGATTTAATTATATAAAAAAAATGAGTCTTGGTGTACACGGCATTAGCTAAGCAAGAAGACCTACACGACTCTTAACAAGACTCCAGGTTAGTATTGTGAAAAAAATTGTATAAGCACGCATTTACTTATGCAGATAAGTGCAACACTGCCTTAAAACAAATGATAAGATATAAGAAGCTCCAAAAAAAAATTGGAAAGAATATAAGCGAATGAATTATTGGCTTTCCGTTACTCTCGTGACTGATGAAAACCCCTGTGGGAAGCAACGTTGCCGGCGGCTTGAACGAACCCAAAGGAAGGTATCCAGAGAATATATATACAATGAAACCTCGGTTGTCGAATGCCTTACTTGTTGAACAAATCGGGTTTCGAATAAGGAATTCGAGAAAGAAATGTACTGGTTTTCGTACGTGCTCTTGGTTATTGATGGACAACGCGAAAGGGACAGTGCGGCTCCCAGTGAATGAGTCCACAGCATGGGTCTCAGTATAGCCACTAACTCACGTACTGTAAACATCTCTTTAGGTTTTGTTGTGCATCTTGTGAACTTTTTTTGTTATTTTGCGGCTTGGGTGCAATTTTTTTTATTGTGGGATAAGCCATCATGAGTCCAAAGAAGGACAATGAGTTGAAAGCAAAAAGAAAAATTGTAAAGAGCACTGCTGAGTTAAAAAAAAAAGTTATTCGAAAGTATGAGGACGATAGGCCCTGTGTGGTTGATATAGCAAAACTTTCTGGTAAATCAGCTTCTACTATCAGCACGATACTGGGCCAAAGGGAAAAATTTAAAGAAGCTGATCTTGCAAAAGTCGCGATATTGATATCAAGGTAAAGGTCACAAATGATTGAGGGGGTTGAAAAACTCAGTGATAGTGTTTCAGAGGCCATTATTTGTGAAAAAGCGAGTCAGTTGAATTATGACTTGAAAAAAACCGGAACAAGGGCTAAAATGCAATCCTTCAAGCTAGTAGGGTTGGTTTGATATTTTTAAGAAAAGAAGTGGCATTCATAGTGTGGCTAGGCATGGGGAGGCTGCTAGTGTTGATAAAGTGGCTGTTGAAAAGTATGTTGCTGAGGGAATTCTCTCCAACACGTGTTGAATTGTGACGAGACAGGCCTTTTCTGTAAGAAAATGCCCAAGAGGACCTACATAACTGAAGAGAAAAGGCAATGAAAGACAGACATACTCTGTTAATGAGTGGTAATGCAAGTGGGGACTTGAAATTGAAACTCTTACTTGTTTACGATTCCGAAAATCCACAAGTTTTTAAGAAGAACAATATTATGAAAAGCAAATTGGCTGTAGTGTGGAGGGCTAACACGAAAGCTTGGGTAACAAGAAAGTTTTTTATTGAGTGGGTTCATGAGGTCTTTGTTCCCACTCTCAAAACGTACCTCATTTAAAAACAATTACCATTCCGGGCCCTTTTACTTATGGATAATTCTCCTGCTCACCCTCCAAGCTTGGAAAAAGAGCTGCTGGAGCAGTTCAGTTTTATAACTGTGAAGTTCTTGCCTCCTAACACCACTCCTCTCATCCAGCCGATGGACCAACAAGTCATTTCTAACTTCAAGAAACTCTACATCAAAGCACTTTTTAAATGATGCTTTGAAGTCACTTCAGAAACAAATTTAACCCTCAGGGAGTTCTGGAAGGACCTTTTCAATATCGTCACATGCTTGAAGCTCATAGGAAAAGCCTGGAGATGTATCTTCCAGGATCATGCAGTCAGCGTGGAAGAAACTGTCCTGAGTTCGCGGCAGCGAAGGATTTAGAAGGCTTTGAAGATGAGCTCGAGCCAGTAAAGGATATTGTGTCCCTGGGCCTAGAGGTGACCGAAGATGATGTGGAGGAGTTGGTGGAGGAGCATGGAACTGAACTCACCACAGAAAGAATACCAATAGATTGCAGTGGAGGAGCTGTCATCAGAGGAAGAGAAGGGAAGGGATAATGTGCCCATTGCACTTGTCAAGGGAATGTGTGCTAAATGACGTGAAGTGTAGGAGTTTTCTGAAAAAAAACATCCAGACAAAGCAGTGGCCATCCGTCTCTCTAACACGTACGATGACAGTGTAATGTCTCAATTTAGACAAGTGTTAAATCAGAGCCTGCAACAAACCTCACTGGACACGTTTTTAGTGAGACAAAGAACCAGTGAGCCAGAACAAGGTGTTAGTAGTGAAAAGAGACAAAGAAGAGAAACAACACCAGAAGGAGAGTTGCCTGACTCTCCTTACAAGCAATAACATACCCCTTCCTTTCCTCCACCACTTATTTCCAGTATGACATTAGCTCTCCTCTGACAAGTACGAGACAGTTAAATTTTCATTTACTATACAGTATTTCAGTTAAAGTTTTCTTTTAGCATTCATTTTTAGAGTTTAATGTAGTAGTATATTTTTAGCAACTTATTATATTGTCATTTGAGGTCTGGAACTGATTAATTCTATTTACATTTTTCTTTATGGGAAAAACTACTTTGATTGTTGTCCGTTTTGGTTGTCGAAACGACATCTGTAACGAATATATATATATATATATATATATAATAATATATATAATATATATATATATATATTATATATATATATATAATATATATATATATATGTCGTGCCGAATATGTAAAACTGGTCAATTAGCAAGAACTCATTTAAAATTAAGTCCTTTCTAAAATTTTCTCTGACACGTTTAAAGATATATTTTTTTCATTAATGTTAATGTAAAAATTCTTAATTTTGCTCCAAAAGAATCTTAGAAAACTTACCTAACCTTATTATAACAAGAACAATTTATTTTAGCTTAACCCAACTAAATATATTTTAGATTTATTTACAATAATTTAATACTAAACAAACACAGTGAAATATATTTTTTTCGTTAGGTTCAGAATGATTTTGGCGAAATTATTGCATACACAAATTTTCGCTTGTCCTATATGGCAAGATGAGCGTTGCTATTTAAGCCAAGATCGCAAGTTCTGCCTATTCGGCACGACATATATATATATATATATATATATATATATATATATATATATATATATATATATATATATATATATATATATATATTATATATATATAATATATATATATATATATATATATATATATATATATATATATATATATATATATTATATTGTACCCACGAACGAGTGGTATTAATCAATAACAACACTGCGACTAGCCTAGGATTCGAACATATCTCGTTTTGGCCCACCTCATGGTGAGCGAAAATCACACATAACGCTCTAACCTAGGGGACCACGCAATTCTACAAGAATGACGCAACCAGCAGAGCTAGGTGTTTTACCGTCATCCGAGGACATGCGGTGTTGGTGCTTTTGAGCTAACTCCATTCTACTTCCCGTTTGGTGTACTAGCCTCACAAGCAGCATATATATATTACTGTAACCACGATCGAGTGGTATTAATCAATAACAACACTGCGACCAGCCGAGGATTTGAACCCATGTCGTTTTGGCCCACCCCATGGTGAGCTAAAATCACATGACGCTCTAATCCACAGGACCACGCAATACAACAAGAATCAAGCACCCAGCAGAGCTGGTAAAACACCTAGCACTGCTGGGTTCTTGATACTTGTAGGATTGCGTGGTCCTGTGGGTTAGAGCGTCATGTAATTTTCGCTCACCATGAGGCGGGCTAAAAGGACATGGGTTCGAATCCTCGGCTAGCCGCAGTGTTCTTATTGATTCGATACCACACGTTCGTGGTTACAATAATATATGTGTGTGTGTGTGTCGAGCCAAATCTGTAAACCTTGCGATATTGGCTTAAATAAAAACGCACTTCTTGCCGAATAAGGCAAGCGAAAATTTGTGTATGTAATAATTTCGCAAAAATCATTCTGAACAACGAAAAAAATATATCATTGTGTTTGTTATAAAATTATTGTAAACTTATCCAGAACATATTTAGTTGGATTAGGCTAAATTAAATTGTGCTTGTTATAATAAGGTTAGGTAGGTTTCCTAAGGTTCTTTTTGTACAAAATCACTAATTTTTATATTAACATGAAAGAAAAAAATATATTTTTAAATGTATAAGAGAAAATTTTAGAAAGGACTTAATTTTAAATAAGTTCTTGCTAAATAACTAGTTTTACCCATTCGACGCGAATTTATATATATATATATATATATATATATATATATATATAATATATATATATATATATATATATATATATATATATATATATATATATATATATATATATATATATATATGCAAAACAGCCACTCTGAAAGAATAGAGAAATTCCAAGCGCTTTCGTGACTACTCACATTATCAAGGAACTATCCATAGTTCCTTGATAATGTGAGTAGTCACAAAAGCGCTTGGAATTTCTCTATTCTTTCAGAGTGGTTGTTTTGCATATTCTGAAATCACCTGTTTACTGTGATCTTATTGCATATATATATATATATATATATATATATATATATATATATATATATATATAATATATATATATATATATATATATATATATATATATATATATATATATATATATATATATATATATATATATATATATATATATATATATGTATATATATATATATATATATATATATATATATATATATATATATATATATATATATATATATAATATATATATATATAATTTAACAAGTCGGCCGTCTCCCACCGAGGCAGGGTGACTCAAAAAGAAAAAAAATCCCCAAAAAGAAAGTACTTTCATCATCATTCAACACTTTCACCTCACTCACACAATCACTGTTTTTGCAGAGGTGCTCAGAACACAACAGTTTAGAAGCATATACGTATAAAGATACACAACATATCCCTCCAAACTGCCAATATCCCAAACCTCTCCTTTAGAGTGCAGGCATTGTACTTCCCATTTCCAGGACCCAAGTCCGGCTATATAAAAATAACCGGTTTCCCTGAATCCCTCCACTAAATATTACCCTGCTCACACTCCAACAGCTCATCACGTCCCAAATACCATTCGTCTCCATTCACTCCTTTCTAACACGCTCACGCACGATTGCTGAAAGTCCAAGCCCCTCACACACACACACACACACTAAACTTGCATTGAGCATCAGCTGATAGTTTTGTTAACTTTCCAAAGTCTACAGTATGAGACATGTTACTACCCTGAAGTGACGCTGAATTGCCTTTAAACTTGCCGCATTGAAATCCCTATAAGTAGTGTTATTTTCTACAGAGCGGCTCCTCCTGAAAAGGCCTTCTACAGAGCAGCTCCCACAGTATGGCTCCTCCTGAAAAGGCCTTCTACAGAGCTGCTCCCTTTTCACACCTATGTGCTAATGACCTTTTTCACACCTAGGTGTTACTTCCGGTCTAGGGTCTCCCTTTTCACACCTATGTGCTAATGACCTTGACCCCGCCCACGACCCCCGCCCACGACGCCCGCCCACGACCCCGCCCACGACCCCCGCCCACGACCCCCACCCACGACCCCGCCCACGACCCCCGCCCACGACCCCCGCCCACGACCCCCGCCCACGACCCCCGCCCACGACCCCGCCACGCCCCGCCCACGACCCCCGCCCACGACCCCGCCCACGACCCCGCCCACGACCCCGCCACGACCCCCGCCACGACCCCCGCCCACGACCCCGCCCACGACCCCGCCCACGACCCCGCCCACGACCCCGCCCACGACCCCCGCCCACGACCCTCCACCCGCGCCCCCCCGCGCCCCGCGCCCCCCGCGCCCTCCACCGCGCCCCCGCACCCCCGACCGTCGCGCCGACCACCACCCTCGCCACACCCTCGCGCCCCGCCCGCGCCTTCTGCTGCGCCTCTGCAGCGTCGTACGGATCGCCCCGCGCCCCGAATTTTTCCGATTTTTTTCGAATTTTTTTTTAATTTCTTATGAATCTCCTCGGATCAAGTTTTTGAGGTTCCCCCTCTCACTTTCACCCCACCCCAAATTTTCTCGATAATACAAGTTTTGGATTCCCCCTATGGGGGTTTCGAATTTCATTTGATCTCCTCGGATCAAGTTTTTGAGGTTCCCCTCCCCCACTTTCACCCCCCACCATCCCAATTTTTTTTTTTCACTCGATAATACAAAGACTCTACTTCCTCGGATCAAGTTTTTGGATTCCCTCACTCTGGGTATAAACATTCAAAATGGACTCCCACTTGCATCCCAATTTTTTTTCGAAATCAAAGTCTCCATCACCTTGGATCAAATTTTTGGATTACCCCTCCCACTTTCACCCACCCCCCACCTCAAATTTTTCTCGATAATACAAGTTTTTGGATTCCCCCCTATGGGGGTTTCGAAATTCTTATGATCTCCTTGGATCAAAGTTTTTGGATTCCCCCCTCTGGAGTAAGTATTCAAATGAACTCCTCCTATGGGGGCATGGTGCTCTCTCTTACTACAGGTCTAAACAAGTGTGACGTCAGTATTCCTCTCATTAAGTTAAATGAAGTTAAAAAGGGTGTTTTACTCGGCGGTCAGTGACGTCACGTGATGACCTCACACATACAGGCTGAATCTTGTCGACCCTTTTAGTTCATTAAAGTTAATAAGGGGACACTTACCTTCTGTCAGTGACGTCACGCGATGACCCCACACCCCACAGGCTGAATTTGT